AATTAATCTTATTTAGAAATGACATGATACTAAAATGTGATTTTTGTGTGTGTGTGTAAATCTAAATGTGTTATAATAGATTTACAAACAAAAAAAAAAATAAAAAAAATAAAAAAAATTATTATTATTTTTTAACTCTAACGGTTGTTTTATACCTTCTGTGTAAAAATGTATCTCCAATAACAATTTATCAATGTTATGCTTAGATCCTACATAATTTTTATAAACCTACTTAATATATGATTGATTAGTTAATGGAATGAGAATGAGAAAGGAGAAAGGAAATACACAGCAATTTTACATATTGGTGAACTGGCAGTGTATTTTAACAAACTGTTAGAAATAAAAAATAAATTTACACATCATACATGACAGTATATATTTTATACAAAAGAGTATTTTAATAGATCACTAGAGATGCTATTAGCTGACTCCATCCCTGTCCGAAGTTAACTAATTTTAACATATTAGGAAATCTCGAGGATCAATCAGTTTTATGCAACATTTGCACTCATTAGTATTCAATAAACACTCTTAATTAGTAATAAATAGATATAGAGTTTCTCTCTTTAAAAGTGTTTAAATCAATGAGACACACAAACAGTGTAAAGGGAAAAGAAAATCAACATATACCTTACCTCAAAAAGTGTAAAGTAAAAGGAAAATTCGGATATATTTTAGGAAAAAGAAAATAAACATTTACCTTGCCTCAATTAGTGTAAAAATAAAAAATAAAAAAAATAAAAATAAAAATAAGGGGATATACCTTGCCCGACTCAGTATAAAGCAAAACATTAGGGACCATTCATTTGAATTTAAAGAAATGTTTCAACCATCATCAACAAGTAATTTTTTTAGATTATATATAATAGTTTATATATGGTTGTATTATTATTTGTATTCGTTAATGATTAATTGATCACGTGCATCGCACATGAATTTGGCTAGTTAGTAATAAATAGAGATAGAGTTTTTCTCATTTAAAGTGTTTAAATCATTCTTTTTTTTAAAGTGTTTAAATAAATGAGACACGCAAACAATGTAAAGGGAAAAGAAAATCTAACATATACCTTGCTTCAATAAGTGTAAATGTAAAGGAAAATTCGGATATCCTTTAGGAAAAAGAAAATGAACATCTACCTTACCTCAATTAGTGTAAAGTAAAAGGAAAATAGGGATATACCTTGCCAAACTCAATATAAAGCAAAGTATTAGGGATCATTCATTTGAATTTAAAGAAATGTCTTAACTATCATCAACAGGTAATTTTTTTAGATTTTATGTAATAGTTTTATATATGATTGTATTATTATTTATATTCGTTAATGATTAATTTGGCTAGTTAGTAATAAATAGAGATAGAGCTTCTCTCTTTTAAAGTGTTTAAATCAATGAGACACGCAAACAGTATAAAGGGAAAAGAAAAAATCACCATATACCTTGCCTCAATAAGTGTAAAATAAAAGGAAAATTTGAATATACTTTAGCAAAAAGAAAATGGACATCTACCTTTCCTCAATAAGTGTAAAGTAAAAGAAAAATGGGGATATACCTTGCCCAACTCAGTACAAAGCAAAGCATTAGGGACCATGCATTCGAATTTAAAGAAATGTTTCAACCATCATCAACACGTAATTATTTTAAATTATATATAATAGTTATATATATGATTGTATTATTATTTATATTCGTTAATAATTAATTGACCACGTGCATCGCACGTGAATTTGGTTAGTTAGTAATAAATAGAGATAAAACTTTTCTCTTTTAAAGTGTTTAAATCATTTTCTCTTTTAAAGTGTTTAAATTAATTAGACACACAATAAGTGTAAAGGGAAAAGAAAATCAACATATACCTTGCCTCAATAACTGTAAAGTAAAAGGAAAATTCGAATATACTTTAGGAAAAAGAAAATGAACATCTACCTTACCTCAATTAGTGTAAAGTAAATGAAAAATGGGGATGTACCTTGCCCAACTCAGTATAAAGCAAAGCATTAGGGACCATTCATTTAAATTTAAAGAAATGTTTCAACCATCATCAATAAATGATTTTTTTAGATTATATATAATAGTTTTATACATGGTTGCATTATTATTTATATTTGTTAAAGATTAATTGACCACGAGTTTGGATAGTTAGTAATAAATAGAGATAGAGCTTCTCTCTTTTAAAGTGTTTAAATTATTCTCTCTTTTAAAATGTTTAAATCAATGAGACACAAACAATGTGAAGAGAAAAGAAAATCAACATACACCTTGCCTCAATAAGTGTAAAGTAAAAGGAAAATTTGGATATACTTTATAAAAAGAAAATGAACATCCACCTTGCCTCAATAAGTGTAAAGTAAAAGGAAAATTTGGATATACTTTATAAAAAGAAAATGAACAACCACCTTGCCTCAATTAGTGTAAGGAAAATGGGAATATACCTTGCCCAACTAAGTATAAAGCAAAGCATTATGGACCATTCATTTGAACTTAAAAAAATGTTTCAACCATCATCAACAGGTAATTTTTTTTAGATTATATATAATATTTTTATATATGATTGTATTATTATTTATGTTGAGGCTGAAATTCGCGCAATCCGATACGATACCGTTTTCCTGCAAGAAAGAGAGGAGAAGATCGATGAATCTTGACGGCACCGGTGTGGTGCCTGCCAAGAACTCTCCGACGATCAAATTAGTCACGGAGGTCTAAAAAGAAGGCAGGGATTAATAATAGTTTTTATGTCTTACCTTCTTTAATGGCTTGATGCCCTATTTATGGCTGTCGATTGGAATCAAAATCGTTCCGCTGATGTCAATGGTTGACCTTATCTTCCGCTTGTGCGAAATCATAGGAGATTTATTACCAGATTTGTCGGGATATGATTTAATCCTTTTGACCTTCTCCAGTTATAGTAGGATTATTCTTATCTGTTGAACCACGTCAGATTTGATTTCATTATCCTTGATAATGAGATCTAATCAATCTTATCGAGGGTAGGGTAGGTTTATATTTTTCCCTACCAATTTATATTCATTAATGATTAATTGACCACGTGCATTGTACGTGAATTTGGCTAGTTAGTAATGAATAGAGATAGAGTTTCTCTATTCTAAAGTGTTTAAATCATTCTTTCTTTTAAAGTGTTTAAATCAATGAGACACACAAATAGTGTAAAGGGAAAAAAAAATCAACATATACCTTCCCTCAATTAGTGTAAAGTAAAAGAGAAACTCGGATATACTTTAAGAAAAAGAAAATAAACATCTCCCTTGCCTCAATTTGTGTAAAGTGAAAGGAAAATGGGAATATATACCTTGCCCATGCCTAGTCAGTATAAAGCAAAGCATCAGGGACACTCATTTGAATTTAAAAAAATGTTTCAACCATCACCAACAGGTAATATATATATATATATAAACCACTCTTTTGGAAAGTAAGAGTTGGGACTGATGGACACTTGTGCATTGCTGTAATTCTGGCTTTTCCTTTGCCACTTGCTTTTACTTTTACTTTTACTTTCTCCAATTTTAAACAGGTCATACTCTGTTTTTGTAAAAATAGAGGCAACAAATGATAAAACAGAAATATATCATGACAAATGATAAAACAGAAATATATCATGCAAAACAAAGATCTAATTCCTTAATTAATATCATTGAATGAAACTAAGTTATCAAGCTCATTAATTCCACAAAAATCATTCATAGATTCAATTTCTTAAATTTTCAGCGATTTAACACAGAAATTTCATTTTCTAGAAGTGATAAGTTTATAGATTCAAAGGGAAAGATAAGAGTAAGAACTTGCCTTAACGATTAGTAACATAACGGAATCACAAGTCTCACCGAACTCTTTTTTTTAAAATCCGACAGCCTTGGGAAGTGATGAAATATAGACCCATCATAGCCCAAAATAAACCCAAAATAGCCCAAAATATAGACCCATCATAGCCCAAAATAGGAATCTTAAACCCAAATAAACCATGGACTCTCTCTCTCTCTCTCTCTGTGTGGTAAATGAAATATAGACCCATCTTAGACCAAAATAGAAATCTTAAACCCAAATAAACCATGGTCCACTTATACTAAATTTGGCCCAATGCAAAATAAATAAATAATTAATAAATCATTAAATAATAACACATTAAGCACACATAATCAATTAATTTAAAGCAAATAATTTAAATAGAAACCCATTAATAAATCCTTTAAAATTTAGGAATACTACATTTTTCATGATTAAAATTATGAAAAAACTTTCATGATGTTTATCATTTTCCTTCTGTCTAGCAAAAAACTCTTTAATTTGAAATAAACAGAGTTAAGGATTTTTCGGTGTGGCTTTCAGCTCCATCTAAGCTCAAACAGGTACATGGAGTAATAATTTTTAGAAGCTTAAATCTGCAGCTTAATAGGACTTTTATACATTCATTCATTCAAAAAAAAAAAAAAAAAAAAAAAAAAAAAAAAAAAAAGAAGAAAGAAAAAAAAAAAAAAAAACGAAAAGAAAAAACAGGAGAAGCATTCTTGCATCAAGAGGAGAACAAAAAAAAATATATCAACAAGAATTTTGTCGTTAAAAGGTTTATTTTGTCGTTGAAAGAGTATGAATAACAAAAATCATTCCAAAGAATGGACAACACAATTAATCTTATTTAGAAATGACATGATACTAAAATGAAAAAAATTAACCATAAAAATTATTTCAGAGACGTGTATTTATTCTTACAAATAGTAATAGGATTCTTCATATGCCATTGAATTCATACAACTTTTCTGACTGACATTTTTAAAAATAAAAAGTAAAATAAAAGAGAAAATTTAGAATTCTGGAAAAACAATTTTCAATCCAGTGATAAATAAAGAGAGCACACTTGTGGTGAGAGATCTCATGTGGATCTAGATTTATTGATGGGATAGAAAACCAAAACCAAGAAATGGATGACGTCCACATTATTAATCATTGCATACCTGAAGTGATGAGATGATCATCGTTTGTTAAAATTAGTGACGCATGGTGTACAAGGTGTGCAGGAAGGTGAGGACGAAAAGAGCAAAGGCAGCCAAGACAGATATTAGTGTCCATGGACTTCCGAAATAATCACGCCTCAGTTTGGCTATACACCTTGGCCAGAAACGGTTGCAGTAATGGCTGACCAGCTTCCACGGCTCAACGGAGTAGAACTCACTGACATGGACATTCTTGCAAATATTGTTGAAGAGATGCAACATCTCTTCCGAGGAACTCAGACGGTTATTTATGACTCCTGCTTTTATGAGCAATTCAACATCCTCCATGGAGTTGATGAGCTTACCCATAAGGAAAGGATGTGATGTGAAAAGACGGAATTTGGGGGAAGAAATTTGTGGTATGAAAAGAAGACGGAATTGGGGGGAAGAAATTTGCTCGAAAGCAATGAGGTTCCTTAAGAATGGCTCAGTGGAGTAGGTAATGGTGAGAGGTGGGATTTTAAAACAAGCTCTTCTGCAAGACAACCAAAACAAGAAATCATTTTCAAAACCAGTAGGTAGTTGAAAATTTGAGTTTGAATAGGTCGTCCTTATCACCCGGAAGCAACTTGACTCCTGCAAAGTCTAGTTGGGTTGCAGAATAATTGAATCCGGGATCCTCCATTGTGCGTATCGGTTCAGCATGAGACGCCATGTAACAACTGTGTAAGAGATGGAGAATATGATCATAATTCTCACCACCATAATCAATACTAGCTAGATGATGGCCCGTCAAATCATCACTACCGAAGAAGGAAAGGACCAATTCAGTGACGGAGAGGCCGTAATGTTGGCGTCCATCTTGTGGGAGACGTTCCGTTATCATGTTGAACAATTTTTCGAGAACTCGGAAGGGAATCTGATTCTCTAACTGCAGCAAGTCACATTTGACGGCAAGGTACATGAACCTGTTCTCCTTGAGGAAGTCTAGAATGTAAAAACTCTCGAAATAATTATTCTTTTGATGGTAGCTGCTGATTATATATTCGAGAATAAAGCCATCATCGGTCAGTAATGTTCCCGTGAGCGCAACAACTGCTTCATCAATATTCTTTGAATCACTGCCCATTTGTGTGTACGAGAACAAACTTTCTTCAGACAACGTTTCATTCACACATAGCGGATTCGATTTTTTTTACTTGTTCAGCTGCTTCATCATCACCAACTTTGATGTCTAATCGACGGAGCAGGAAACACAAGCAGACCAATTTATAGGATTTTTAAGGAGCAGGAAACACAAGCAGACCAATTTATAGGACTCCATGGCCTGTAGATGTGTTGGGATTTATATGTCCTGCCATAGTAAATTTCTATTTGGATTAAAGTGACATATATTCCTGACATATCTGAAATATTTATAATTTATATAATTGGTGAATTCAATGTATTGTGTTTCGATTCATTATAGAATTGATTGTGTCCTCTTGATTACAAGAAATATTTATATATGTATGAGATTGCGATCAATACATTAATATAAATAGTAATCATAAATTGTTCATAGTCGGTAATTATGGATGGAATCATAATTAATTAAGACTTGGACTGAATCCGCTTTAGGCTGAGATATATTGCGAGAGTCGTCGTATGCAATTGCTCCCTATTACCGTCATGGCATTTGACTTTTAAGTATGAGAAAAGTATATACTTTTTTGTTAATTAATAATTACTTTCATTTGTTCGGCGGATTCTTCGGGATCCTTAGACCGACACTTTGAGTAGTTATGTAATTAATAGTTAGAGGGTTATATTTTCAATATATGCATCATTGCTACTTGTATTTATTTTGTATTGATTATGGTTGATCACAAAGTAAATTCGAAGGCCTTCGTATGTTTTTAGACAAAATGATTTTTATATATTTATTTATTTAAATTATTATTTTTGTCAAACAAATGTTTTATTGTGATCGAGCCAGAAATAATCAATGGTACCAAAATAAATATATTAATTAAGTAGTCGGATTGATGGCTTTATTTATCCGATAACTAATTAAGTATAGAGGGGTCAAAGTGCAATATTGACTTAGAAGTTATTTATTATTTAATTGGAGTTCAATTAATTTCTTTTAGTGGAGTAGAAATTAATTTATGAATTAATTGAATTGAGCCCATGGATTGGGCCAATTATTAATTCATTGTAGCCAATAAAATAATAGGCCCAATGGATTCTCACTCATAGCCCAACTTGATATTGGAATCATATTGATTTGAGACATGTGAATTAGAGATTGAGAAGGATTTGTTGTTTCTTTTTCTTTATCTTTATGTTGCCTATAAATATACATGACCTATGTATATTTTTGGTGTGATTTTTAGTAGAAAGAAAAAGGAATATATTTTCTCTCTCTAGAAAATTAGGGTTTATGTTCACATCTAATGGAGGCTCCCACAAGCCTAATTTTCCAAGGTCATTCATGGAGGCTTATGAGTGATTTTTAAAGGCAAAACAATTACCAAGAAGATGGAGATCTAAGGAGAATGCATCTTGTTAATGGATCTACAATAAGTGAGAACATTCACTTTAGAGGAAAGATTTAAAGGTTTACTCAGACCTTTGATGTAAGTATTCAATTCATTAATTGAATGATACATCATATTTTTATTTTTGCATAAAACTTGTCTCTATGTAATGAATCAAGATCTATGAATTAAAATCCCTCAAAAAGTTTTTAAAACTAGAACGTTTCCCAACAGGGGTATCAGAGCATGGTTTGATTCATTACTAGAGATCATGATTTTATGAAAATCATCATTCATGGATCCAAAATTATATTCATATATATTTTTATTGATGTATGTTGATGTATGATTTAATATGTTGATATATATTGATACATGATGATGTATGAATAATTGTGAATGAATGATGATGTATGGTTGGGCCATGGATGAAGTTTATAGGTTAAATTAATGTAATTTTATCTTTGGATGAATGTAATTAAGGCTTTGATTTAGCCGTTTGAAAGTTCAATGATGTAATTTAATTTTTTCCATTGTATTTTAAATTGTAAATATTTTTAAAGTCATGTAATCTTCGTTAAAGGATGCTATGAAACTTCAAGAAGATCCAAAAGGATTAAATTAGGCTTCGGGAATTTTCTGGAATTTTTCCGGAATTTTTCGAAATTTTTTTGGAATTTTTTTGAGCTTTATTTAATTTTTCTGGAATTTTTTATTATTTTTCGGTGATTTTTCGGCGAACATAAATTCACCGGTGGCAAGTACAGGCACCGGAGTAAGAGCTGGGATTCAGTGCGACGCGAGACCATGCAATCGGATCCATAGCCGCTGGATCAAGGGCTGCAATCAAGTGCAGCACCAATATAATACACCTGGCGCGTGAGGAACACGCGCCAGGGTCAACAGGTTGCTGGCACGTGAGAAGCACGCGCCAGCACAAGCTAACCTCTTCCACGCGTGCGTGCAGGCGTGTGGATGTGCTCCCACTCGCGTGAAGGCGCGTGGGAGTGCGTGACATACTCTCCTACCTCCTCCCAGCGCGTGCAGGTGCATCAGATGAGTTTTGAGGCGTCCAATTGTGTCCGGTGGCGCGTGGGATCGAGTTACAGCCTCTTGCAGGTGTATACTAGCCTATGATAGACCCTCGCGCATTACTTAAAGCATATAAATGTTAAAAACTGAATCCATTAGCCATTTAAATTGCTTCTGTCTGTTATTTATTTATTTAACTGATGCATGGAATAATTAATTGTTTATTATTATTATTTATGCATTGGATCCATGATATTTAATTAAATGATTTTATTTATATTAATTAAATTATAAAAATTAATTGGATTTGATTACTAATTAATTTGAGAGCACTTATTGGGAAACGAAAAATTATTTTTGTAAATTATTTTTAAAGTGTGCCTCAAATTAAATATTAGTGAATCGTTTAAAGTCCAAATATTTTCTAAATTTAATTGGATTAAAATCAAGACGTTTTGCATGCATTATATCATGTAAATAGATAAATTCAAAACCCTAATTATGAATGATTAAAAATTGAGTGGGAGCGGAGATTTTTATACATTACCCCATGGCCTTCGTTATTAAAACCATTGTAATTAGATCTTCAAAAATAAGGCCCCACGCATGATTTGAAGAGTCTTAATATTACAAGAATGGTTGTCTCATGAAAATAATAATATTAAATGTTCATTGTAATTAGATCTTTAAAAATAAGGCCCTACGCATGATTTAAAGAGTTTAGATTATAATGACAAGATATTTAATGTTTTATTTTTCATTAGAGCATTAATAGCATTATACACTCAATCTAAAATCAATAGTGTTAGCTCCCCAACGGAGTGGTCTACACTAGATGATTTTAGAAAGGTTAAACATAATTGGGAATCATTTCATATAGATAGATAAGGCATTGTCTTAAGAGATATGGAGATAATGGGATTTGCCCGCCAATAGCAATAATGAACTTCGCTAACCGAATAAGTTATTGGCATATTGGATATCTGATTTTTCATGCAGTGGTTAAAGACCCACATACTATTTTAATGGAAGTGCTCACCTAATAGTAAATGAATCTCAACAATAGTAATAATGAACTCCTCCAACATGATAAGTTATTGACATATTGATTGGTTGATTTATTATGCTACAGAGTTGAGGGACCCGCATTAATGAAAAGGGATTGTTCACCAATAATGATAATGATCTCTTGTTCGATTGAGAATTATTATATTATGTGGTTAACATACTCATTTTAATTTTAAATATGCATGACAGTATTAATAATTCACCTTGCATATTGTATGATTGCATTTATATTCAGATTATTTATGTCTAATCCAGTTTATCTACTTGCTAATATATTCTATGATATTGGACCTTATTTATAATGACTTGAAAAGGAACTTAGATATTTTATTCACAACGTAAGGGTACAAAATGTATTTAATACTCCTAAACTTAATCCTTTTACTTTAAGATACCCAAGAGAACATTAATGTTTTGAATAAGTGAAATAAGGCAAATGAGATGAATTGGTACAATATTCTAGAGTTTACCTCGAATACTCTCCAAAGCTAACATTTATTTTATTTTCTTCAAGTATCATGTTAAATGTCAATAAGATGTTTTGGTGAGATTATATAGAGAGTACGCGAAAGTACTATGTCAGACTTGAATACCATCAAGATAGCCTAAGGAACTCCAGTATGAGATCGAATTTTGTAAAATGATAGTTTCTTATTTTAAAAAAATTAACTGGAGATCAATAGGGCTGACTTGGGTGGTAAGTTTCAAGTTGACATGATTATTGCCTTGTTACCAAACTCGTTCGACTCTGTTAGAGTGAACTAAATAAGGAATCAGTTTGAGTTCACACTCGCTGATATTCTTATAGAATTGGTAACAGATGAAGGGATAATCAAAAGTATAAGTGTTCCTTTCAATCTAACCTAGTCTATACCATCTTCTTCTAGGCCCAAGTGGACAGGCAAAGCAAAGAAGAAGGATGATAATAGGACTAGGCTAGCACAAAACATGGGTATCCAAAAGGTTAAAGGGAATAAGGCAGTGTATGGAAAGGGCAAATTAAATTGTTTCTTTTGCCGTTAACTATGACACTAAAGGACGAACTGTCTAAGCAATGACGTGGCATATGAAAATATATATTTAATCATTGAGCCATGTTATGTGGTTGTATCTATTAATTCCTGATGGATAAATTCTGGAGCCACTAAACATTTTGCAATTCGTTGCAAGGATTTTAGGAATCCAGAAGCCTCGATGATATGGAATATATTTGTACTTGACCTGATGTCAAGGTTGTAGCTAAGTTAGTGGGAGTATTATATCTGAAATTAGAGAGTATGAGAATATTAGTATTAGAGAACTATCTTTATGCACAGAAGTTAGACGTTATCTAATTCTTGTTTCAATTGTGGTTTATAAAAACTGTGTTGTTATTTTGTAAAACTGGTTTTATAAAATTGAATAGATATGCGATTACTTCTGGTGCATTGAAAGATGATTAATATACTATAATCACAAACTCTTAAGATTTGCAGGATGTAGAAACTAATGTTGCATCTTTTAGATT